CCGACTCTCGTCAGAGTCGGACAGCTAGCTTGTTTAGATCTGTTAACAACACTTCCACCGCAGAATAAAACTGAGTACGTCGTCAAAATGTACTCACTGATTGAATGTAAATTCAACACTCTTCTACGGGAAAGAATCGAGCGCTGACGAAATCCGAATGAACTATGCGAGGATTCGACTCACAGAAGACATCCTAGTAAGTAAGATTTTGACCTTTCACCGTCAGTCTTGTTTACAATAAATATCTCTCTTCCAGGGAACGATTTCTTTGTCGCAAACCTTCCTGCATGGCAGCCGACTGGCCGCCATGATTCGAAAACAGATTGAATTGGTGCGCGCGTTGGTTTATGGGATACGACATTAAAATTTCTTTCCCCAGGCCTCCGCAATGATGTCACAGATCACCTGGAATGTTAAGCATGACCACCACAACAAAAACTGGTTGCAGTGGGCAAAAGCGGTAAGAAGACAAGGCTAATGCCGTACGATCAAACGACTGTACGGAAAAGTGTCAAATAGACAGAGCTAATACTGTGCGAACAAGCTGGCGTATAGAAAAATTGTCAAAAAGATAACTGATATCGTGTATTTAAACGGAGAAATGTTTAGACGTGAAAAAGGAGAAATTCGGAGAAGGGTGCATGGTGATGGTTGCTAATGTTTAACTTCGCTTTTTTGTGAATTTTTTTTGGAAATGGAAGTTGGTTTGCACAAAAAGTTGAGTAACGATCGGACAACATGAAAAGCCATCCAGGCTAACTCTGAGGACACGTCTCACACTATCACGAGCTTATAAGTCGTGTTTAGCCTATCAACACTTTATTTCACAATCAAGTTTCCAAGTCGAATCCTAATTCGAAAATGCTCTGACTCTAATCCTAACTTGAAACCCCAACTCGAAAATCCAACTTGAAATCCTAACTCGAATTCAAAGTCCAAAATTCAACTCAACTCCTAACTCGAAAATCCAATTCAAAATCCTAACTCGAAATCTAACACAAAAATCCAACTCGAACATCCAACTCGAATCATAACTGGAAAATCCAACTCGAAATCCCAACTCGGAAGTTAGTATATATCTCCGTAAAAGTTATACACTCATCTGAAGCAATTACAATAACAACATTGAAAAAATCAATGCATTAAATTAAGAGATTGGATTCATTTTTATTGACCTCGACTTCGTCTTACTCTACAAAAACGCAAAAAAGAAGAACTCAATACGCCACCCTTGACCTCGCGCTTGATCAATAACACACATTGCAGCAGTGGGCGAAGGCGTTGGCTCAAATATACTGCATGGATACCCAAGCTTCACAAGAAACCATACAAGGAAAGGTTTATTGCAGGATCAAGTTCATGTACTACAAATAAGCTCTCTAATTTAATAACTGGGTGTCTTTAGCTAGTCAAATGTCACTGCACTAGCTGCCTATTGCAAAACCACCAGAGAAAGAACAGGAGTGAACTGCATGTGGATAATCAACAACTCCTTGGACGTTCTTCACACACTAGAGGAGAAACAACTTTCGCTAACTAATATGAGTACCTAGGACTTTTCAACTCTTTATACAAGCCTAGCTACCACATGCCAAACTTAAACAGCAACTCCATGAACTGTTGGATAGAGAGTTCAACACCAGAGGAAAGAGCTTTATCGCCACCAATAATTTGCATGCTTTCTGGACGAATGATAGGAGGTCTGATAGGAAGTACACTTACTTCTCCTGTAGGGAGCTTTGCCTCGCTCTTGTCTTTCTTATCGACAACATCTACGTCCGCTTCGGAAGCTTCGTTTCCGGGCAAGTTGTTGGTATACCTATAGGCACTAACAGCGCACCCTTGTTGGCCGATCTGTCATTTTCTTCACACCTTGGAGTTTGACTTTATGCTCACCACTATGAAACAAGATATGACAAAAGCCATACAGTTTAGCAACACTTTTCGATACATTGACGATTTATTCAGCGTTAAAAATGAGGAGTTTGGAAATTAAATCAGCACAATATAGACAATTTACCCTTCGGAATTGGAGCTAAAGGACACTTCCACATCAACGACTGAAGTGTGTTACCTCGACGCAAGGATCAAGCTTGGTGACAACAACTCACCTTTCCATGTAAGCATCTTTGATAAAAGAGATGGCTTTGCATTCCGGATCGTGAATTTTCCGCATATGGACAGCAATATCACAACCAAACCGGCCTATGGTGTTTATATATCTCAACTGGTGAGAAATGCTTGGATTTACACGTCAAAGGTGGACTTTTTTGATAGACTTCGCCGACTTTCTTCGCGTCTAAATCAACAAGGCTTTAAGTCCACTCTACTTCTCAAATCCTTTTTCAAATTCTTCAAGTGCCATGGGGTTATCATCGACAAGTATCAAACTACAGAGCTGGAGATGAGACTGGCAATCAATGGCTGAATGGTGCCGCCATATCCTTAATTACGCCTTTTACCGTCCCAGTACTCTGACTAAAAGCTAGAATATGCTGGCTTGCCTGAGCTCTGTTTACTGGGCAAAATGAACACAACTAGGTGTGGGGGAAAATGGGTATGAGCCTGTGCTCATAGCCGCTTTTATTCAAATATGCATTTTCAACAAACTGTTCGCAACATAATCTGGCCCAGTAAAGGTGAGGGCACAGAAAACGTCATACGCATCGTGGAGACGACCGGTGCTGCCCCACCCCAGGCAAAGCCAGGCAACAAAAAAACCCTAGCTGAAGAACCCTGAAGTAGACAGCGGCCCTTGCTCACTGTATCAACAGACCAAGAGGATAAGGAATAACTAAAGGAAACAACCCAGACAGCCGCCCTTGTATTAAAAAATCAAAATAACAAAAGCAGTGGGGTACAGTCCCCCTAGTAAGCTGCCCAAAATGAAACCCAGTTACTATAAAGCGACACCAGAAGCACTTGAAGTAGAGAAGCATGATACTAAAGCGCAAACCGGTATCAATTAGGTAATTGAAAGCTTAGGAGACCACCGCCCTTGCTAGTGGTTCCGCTTTTAAAGGAAAAATTAAACAATGAGAAGCGTGGGAGGCCACCGCCCTTGCAAGAGGCCTCCTTCAAAACGTTTCTAAGTACTGAGAAATTAAATGATGCTGTGGCAACCCCCCCTCAAATTGCCCAGTCCATGCTTAAACGTAGCTCAATGAGTAAGAGCACCAGCAAGGCACTCGTAAGTACCTTTGAAAAGCATTCCACGTACCTAGTATACGAACTTGGGTATCTGCGAAGCCCTGCACCGCCTCATGTGAGGCCGCACCGATGCGGAAGCTGTGGCCGTTGTAACGAGAGGGAGAACGGCCACGGAAGCTGTATGGCTAATGAAAGCTGAGTAGAAAACCACGACCGAGTCACTGGGAGCCCATCCACTGTTCAGTAATAAAAAGGGGGCCCTCAGCCCAGTTTAGTCCCGCGAAAGGACAAATACTTCTAGATAATAAGTTCACAGGGCAAGCGACTGACTGACTGATTTGAAACAATTATAGAAAACGGGCGTGCGTTATAATGGTATTCATATTTCTGAAAAGTGATTTTATAAGAGACAAGGTCTCCGACCGCTGTACGTAACCGTGTTGCCTGATAAAACTGGAGGGAGGAGATGAGGCCTGTGAAGGGGTATGAGTAATTTTACCTAAACGCAGAAATGCTTAAAAGGCTAAAGAGCACATGGCTTGGGACTGACAGATTTGATACGCAAAACCTTGAAGCTGAGAAGCCACCGAAGTTAGCCGGTGTAAAACTGGGAGGGAGATGGGCAAACGGCTATCCAGGAGAAAATCCTTTTTGTGATAGCCTTTGAGCATCTGACATACATCACAAAAATTTGGTGGGATCTGAAAGGGACATAAACTTACGTGAAAAAGCCAAGGCGGAGACATAGGCATAGACAGTGAATGGGGCATACTGTTTATGAAATAAATAAGCTATGAACAGAGCCGAAACCAAGGAAGAAATGGGCGCGCGTGTTATTTAAATGCGCGCGAGCTCTCTTTTATCATTTAAGAGCGGCTGTCTGTAAATATCAAGTATTCACCGGTCAAAACTGAAATTTCGAAATCCTTCATATTCAGAAAGAAAAAGCCCAATTGAATTGGGCAATTGAAAAGCAACCCATTGAGAGAGGTAACCGCGCAGTTCATTTCGATGTTTTTGCAAAAAAGTGTTAAAAATGCTGAAGATAGGAATCTTCGGGCGTTTTGTAGCCGAGAAAAAAATGCATTATCGAAAAAGAAAATTCTTTGGAAACTTTGATTGTGATTGTCGAAAATGTCTCACTAAAGGGTTTTTTTCTGACTGAATGTGAAGAATTTCGAAATTTCAGTTTTTACGGCGAATTCTCGATATTTACAGACAACCGCTCTTAATTGACGTGTGTTATTATTTAATTAACGTGTGTATTTAGTTCGTTATTTAACGCATTACTTTTTCTTTGGGTTGCGCACATTTTAGGCATATCTTACTGATGAACAGTTATGACTTTTAGATATTTTGAGCAACAACAATTTGCCGTCTGTCCTCTTTGAATTAAATATCTTTTGCAGGTTGTTGTCCTCTAAACTGGGTTCAACTGCGAGGTTCTTGCTACAGACTATCAGCCGGTACCCTGGAATGGATCGCAGCCAAATTTGCCTGTGAAGCAATGCGATCTAATCTCACAATTTATACTTCAAAACTTGCCTTGGAAAAGAATACTTGGATCGGACTTCGCAGTAAAGGCAGCGAATATTGCGAAGTATTGAATGTGAGAGGGGAGAGAAAACGCGAGAAGTGTAATACGTCCCTTCATTATTCTTGCAAGTTGTTCTCGGGTAGGTCACGTAATGCCCCTATTCGAAGTGAAGTCGTTTTATATTCAAAGATATCAGGGATCTTTTTTTTAAAGGATCCATATCTATATATCCATATCCATGATCCATATTTGCTTTTATTACATACATTTACACATGCAGGATATACAGCAAAATGCTTCTCGAAAAATGTAT